AAACGTGTCAAAGAAAGCAGCGAGGCCTTCTTTTTGATGTCTGAATTCCTTGACTCTTTGATTAGACTTTGTGCTTGCTTTATAAAATACATAAGTGTATATACTCTTTTAGTGTCTGGTTGTGATGGTTTCCTTAAATAATGCATGTATAAGTTAAATTAAATAATGTTTTTGATTCTCTTGTCCACATCTAGATGTGGTTATTTTACTTTTGTCTATATTGATTATACAATACATCCTGAGGGAAAATCGAGAAACAAATAAGTGATTCAATGAATTTCACTTTACTGATATGGTACGATATACATTTACCTGAGATCATATGAATTATCTATATTTTCCATTCAATGTAGTATATGAGAAGGCATATGCTACTATCAGAAATCATTAACATAATTATGTAATACAAATCGTGGTGTACGTGATTTGATAAGGAGGTTTGGATGCTTGCTTAAAATGTTGTATTTGTTTACATTTTTGAATAAAAGATATGATAGAAATTTTACATGTCAGATTGATGTAGTTTTTGATTAAACTTTCATTATTTCTTAGACGGTGTATAAATATCTCTTATATAATATGTATATATAGTGAGAAGTCATATTAGTGTACTTTTTAAATCCTTCAAGGTGCCTCCTTGTATTGTTTTTTTTTACTGTAAAGTGTAAGTATTTAAAACATATACATGAACAACTGTTCAGAATTAAAAAATCATAATGGAGACTTTCATTGATTAATAGAAGATATGTAAGAAAGACAATACTCTGTTTCTCCTGCAGTTGTGTTCATCCATACTCAAACATGATTTAGAGAAGAATTTTCAACCACATGTTATAAAAGGGGAAATATATGCAAGTGATCTAGAAAGAGGCATATTTGATGCAAAGAAATGTATTTGTGTAAGTAGTCCTTTTAGAAAAGGTGCAAAAATTTATGGTAAATTCTAAACAATGAATCTATTTCCAATTTCTTCACAAAAGCAGAGTTTCCTTTTTCCTTTTTCTAATTTCTTCTCGAAAGCAGAGCAATCTGTTTTTGAACTTTGAGATCTGTCAAAGTTTTGCTCAGCAGAGAAAGGGAACAGACCAATCCAAGGGGGAGGTTTGTAAATCTTCCAGGATTACTAGTATATTCTCAGCTGCAAACAGAATGCCAAATAGTATGTTATTTTTCATCTTGTTAAACCCGAAAACATTATTTTCATCTATAATGCTAACTTGTATTTACATATAAATACAGTATATTAGCTCCAATGGTCAATAAACAGAAAAGCTTTTGCGATGTTAAAAGTAAGTATCCATCGTTTACGTGTTTGTTTATCAGAATTTTTTTTCTCAAAATACAAGCTTCAACCAATAAAAATGTTTTTTTCAATCACGACAATGTCTGACATCGTACAAAATAAAAATCGTGTCGAACTGTCAAACAAAGTTGTCGTACAATATGGATAACAATCAAACTCAATAATTGAAATGTGAAAGGACAAAATAACCAATAAATATGGATTACACAAGAAGTATCTATAGTAAGTAAGTAAACAATTTATGTCTGAAACTTGTGAATTTCACAGAAGTAAATTTGGTGATTATGCAGACGATATCACGGATGGATAAAAATATGGTTCAAATTGTAGACACCTGTAATCGGGAATAATAATTACAAAAATGAATTTTAGAAATCACAGTAATAATTAACATAATTAATAGCAAGTAATGCCTGCGATGTAACATGAACAACATGAAGTGAAATACGAAACTAATCTACTTAACCTGCACCGATAAAGATGACAGACAGGATGTAAACAAGTTGCATGGTAGCAGATGATTTAAAGTGTTGCAGCTAATATACACACGTAGAACTGCTAAGATGATGACAGTTTACTCAAGAAATACTTAAAAGTCTTATACCTTTTCGCACCGCTAATTTATTAAAACACTTTGTGGCTGTCAGTAACATGCATTTTTATTAATTCACAATTACCATTCCTGGGTACAATGAATTAAAATCTGGTGCAGATTTTTAATGCTTAAAAGAGCCGAGACTACATTCATTGAATTTGACATTGAAACGAAACGATAAATTTATGACGTATTCAGAACAATCGTATTCTGTACATAAACTGACAATGCATATTTCATAGCGGCATGTTTTTTTAATGTACACTCATTACTGTATGCATAAATTTTAATTTGAATGAAAATTTAATTGACAGGTCATTTCTAGCGGTCAATAATTATAATGACCGGTCATTTTAATCCATCGTATTCATAACACCTGACTGCTGTTAGCTGGTTTCTGGAGCGTGTAGTACGTATATATCTTACGTTGTCCTTTTTGTTTTAGTTTTATCTCATTGAACGTGCATTTGTGTTTATTTCACAATACATTTAACTGTGCAATTGATACCAAATGTCTTTGGTAACCCCTTTCCTGACCAAGCAGAGGCATTCAGAAGTCACTGTGTCGCGCCAAAGTATATTAAAATGGCAATGAAGGAGGTGTCCACTCAGGAGAAATCTGTGAAGCAAAATACAGTGAACCATGAACAGAGCTGAGATTTACATAGGGGCTAGAGAAGAACACAATTGAGTAGAAAAATATGGCGGACAAAAGATAAATCTCTACATTTTAGGAATCATGTTCATCATTAATATTTATTACATTTTCATTATGGGTATGTAATATATCAAAAACTGAAGTTTTATTCAGATGTATAGGAGGACTTGAAGATAGGAGATGGATACCCCCGATTTCTTAAAACAGAATGGCAGTGTCCATGTTTTGTCATGGGAAACCCAAAATATGTGTAAGATCAAAAGGAAAAAAAATAGGAGGTCACAATAGCACTATGTAACAAAGATTCTGTGAAGGTCTCTGAACTGAGGGGTATATTCTCTAACAATTCCAACGACAAGGAAGTTATTTCTATTCTGCTACGGCGAATCTTTTTAACACCTATATAGAGAAACAGAGAAGAAGATGTCGACGTCAACATAAGTAGGTCACCATTGACTGCTTCTTCTCGTTTATTTGCGCTTCACGCATTAGAAAACGCACTAGGTAATCCAAATCTCAGGTAAACTTTTTCCCACTAATCTGCGTCACAATTAAAAGAGGCCTCAATCATTTTCCTAGTAAAAGAAGTCAAAATTAGAGGAAACCGATTTAAAATGATTGATAATTTGTTGATGACGTTTGTGATTTATTGGAGAATAATGGCCGCGGCATTTCTTTGATCTTTGCAATAACCGTAGAAGAATTTAAAATAAAAAACTGTTTAAAACTGCATTTTATCAAATAATCGATTAACAAAAACTTCTACAAAAACCGATTTATAATTCCAGCATATGTAGAATACTTGTATTGCAACTAGATTTAAGTTGTTTTAATTATTAAGGTCGTCCGTTTTCAGCGAAAGACTCTCCTGTTATTATACTGTTTCTTCTGCTTCTTATCTCAGTAACGGTTCCAAGAAATATCATGATACTTTCAGAGATGATAGGGGTAAAAATTTTGGAGATCTAATCTTTTCAATTTTGATGATGTCACCTCCAGTCACAAAATATGATCTATTTTCAACATTTTGCTGCAATTTTTTTAAGTTCTACTTCGACGAAATTACTCAAGAGAGTAATTTGAAATGTTCAGATATGATGGATTGTTACTTGTAGCAACAAGTACAAGTATTTGTTATTGGCATTCTATAAATAGTATATAACTCTTCGTTAATAGTGAGATATTTTCAATTGTCACTCACTTGATTTTTTCGCTTTACCTTCTTGCAATTGACGGACAATTCCAAGTATTTTTGAGTCTTTAGATTGTTCTTCAGTTACATTTACTTTGGTATATTTGCCTGATTTGATTTGCAGTTTAAAGGGATGCCAGCGTCTATGTCATAGCGGATATAATATTTATAATTAGGATTTATCGCGTTTGAATGAAATTAATTTCCGGATCATTTTGTTCTTTTTATTTCAATTTCTCTCTTCGAGCTTCTAACAAATTCTTAAATGGTTTATGGAGAGTACAGATGAAAAATTGTAAGAAGTGTTCAAATTTCTGTTGTATGAAATGAATTGCAAATGCTTCTTTTCTTCTGTAGACAACGAGTTTGCGCGTTACTTAATTTACAAGAAAGGTATCATATAGGTTTTTAATCTCTGATACCCAATAATTTTACTTCATTTCCTTGTTCGTTTTCATCTAATGCTAGAACTAAACATGCGCTTATTGCTTTTTCAGAAGCTTTTGTATAAAGAATATAATTATTCTTTATTTGAGTCCGGTATTGATGAGAGTGGTACTTTTGGTATACTTTCGTTTAGGTGATCGAAAGCCTGTTGACAATCGTCATTTCATTTAAACATTACATATTTTTTTGTTAATGGTACCAAATACTCGACAATCTTTGAAATTTTGATATAACTTAACAGTGATAAATATAAAACTGGATATTTCTTTTACAAAACAAAGTGAGAAGTGTAATAAACATGTAATATTTTTTTTAATAACAAATTATCAATTTGATAAAACAAGTTAATAATTTGATATAAAAGATTGGCATTTTGTTTAAACAAATTATTAATTTGTTATAACAGGTAAGTAATTGGTTATAACAAACTATTAACTTTACTTTTTCCATTATAAATTAATTCTGCAAATTCGGGGGGGGGGGGGGGTCCGGACTCTCGACTCAGACCACCCTCTAGATCCTCAAGTGCTTTGGACATTTTTAGGGTAATGGATAATAACGTTGACCAAACTTTTGAATGGTTCGTGCTTGGGTTTCATATTTACTACATATTCCATTGACGCAAGCCCTTTCATTTGGGTAAAAACATTTTGGCATGCATTTTGGAAAACTTAAACCTTCGCCATAAGCTGCTATCCGGGGCATCAGTGTTTCACAAACACATCTTGTTTTTATTATTTTTCATATGGAATTCATTCTGACTAAGTGCTAGAAAACTAATTTATGAAAGTAAAAAATAAAAATATCATTGGACCCTCAGTGTATATTTGTTGGGGGGAGGGGGGTGGGGGGATGGGGGTTTCCAGTCCACAAGCACCTGAGGTCCTGACGACTGATAACTCACACGGCTGGAGCTTAACAAGTTAATCAGTTGTCTTAGTTCGTATCTGTTACGATCTTTTTTATCATCTGTTAACCAAAATAACCTGAAATATTCTTCGAAGAAGGATATGAAGCAGAGCATCTGGTTCATTTGTACTTAAACTTGACATTCATTATTGTTTTCAAATTTGAACACCTTTGTACTCAAGTACATGGAGTACAAGGATTTTTACTAAGACAAATGTTCTATTTGATCGTTTTAAGCCGAACAAATGTAGATACTGCTGTGAAATCCCGGGACAAAACAGAATAATTTAAATAAAATGTTATTAGGATGCAGACATTTGAAACAAAGTCCTATTTTATTTTAGTCACGAAATGGAAAAATAACAAATGGCATATTTAAGTTAGACACAATAGAAAATGCAGAATAATATTATACCCTCTTGTTAAACACTGAATCAGATGTGTTTTTTGCAGCCAAGTAAGCCTGACGAAAAAAAAAACGCTTTCGTATACAATAAAATGTTGGAGAGAAAATATTTAATGAAGCTTCATACAAAGAAATAAAGATCTCAAAACATGCCAAAAGAAAAAAAATGACTTTACGGGTGTAACCCTAGCCCTGCGATACCAACATTCAAAGCAACGACGAAAAGCATGAAAAACATGCTAATTTCGTCGCATCTTTCTACATTCAAGCATGGGTTACAATCACATTTTTTTCCTTGTGCTATTTCACCTTTATTGGCATGAATTTTCCTCGCTTCTCTCTCACTCCTCCATCTTTGAATCATCAGAATTCCAAACGCAAGGTGACAGAAAATCGCTAAAGAAATCATAATAATCAAGGGCCAAAAGTAATTATTTTCAGAGCTTCCTCCTATTACAACTCTCAGCTGTGATACATTGGCAGCCAATAGCGAGGCGTCCAATAGCTGTCGAACGAATTTCTGGCTATCTGAAAATGGATTTCTAGATGGATTCTAAAAAAATATAAAAAATCCCTTCATGAGTGTTTCTATGTCAATCGTTAATATTTGTTGATATATACAGCATATACTTCACGACTGAATTAATTTTTTAAAATTGCATTTAGATATAGCTTTTCACATAAGTGAAACGTTGATGTTGAAATATTTTCCAGTTTAAAAGTTATTTTTGTCATAGAAAAAAAAATCTATAATTTTAGATGCTTAAATAATTACTACTCAAATTATCCGGGGAAAGATCGGTATACATGTTTTTTTTATTAGAAAGGAGAGCGTTTTGCTAACCTTACCGTGTCATTTGCCAGGCGATCTACTTCGTCTCCATTTCTAGATTCATTTTTCATTTCACAAGACTTCTCTTGTTTTTTTTTCATCTGATTTTTTATGTGGCTGGAAAAGACATTTATCTGAAATTACAATAATTATTAAATGCGAAGATAACGAACAGTGAATCATGTTCAAAAGTCTATTCAAACAATACAAATTGTGAGCAGAGCAAACACGGATCTCTGAAAACAGAGGTGGAATCAGGTGCCATAAAGGAGTTATCCTCTCATGTCTACCGGGCAGATCCGCCGTGTACTCTCTCATTTTCGGGTAAACGGAACAATCCATAGACAATTGATTGTGAAAGTAAAGCCTAACAAATTACTAGTATGCTTCATTTTTGAAATTATTTGTATTTAGAACATGTTCGTGCGTCTCGATTGCATTGGGATACATATATATATATATATATATATATATAACTTAGGAATGGAAAATCAAAATTAATCACATTTATTTTAGTGTAGGTCCAGGATTTTTCAGAATCATGTAATTGGTACAATTAACATAAAACATATATAACCATGATATAAAGTCTTACATCCTGGATTTGAGTTGTTTCGGAATCCTCTTTTCCTTCTTTATTATGCAATTTATCTTCATTGCTTCTTTCAGACATTTTGAGTGTTTTTCAACAGATGCAATTACTCGTTTAACTCTCTGTAGAAAATAATACGAAATATCAATAGATACGTTGTTTTTTTCTATTCATTTCAATATGCTCCTGTAGAGGATTTGACTTTAAGTATGTTTTATGATACAAGGCTTAGTGTACTAAAACAAAGACCTTTTAATGCAAACAAAATATTTAAATGTACAATATTTTGTGCTCTAAATATTTTATAGCAATAGTACTGAACTTAAAGACACTTTTGAAAGAAATGTCGTTCTTTATTTTCTGTAGAGAGGGGGCTCGGAGATGGAGGTATTTTACTAATTTTAGGAAAAAATTATTCACTTTACATTACCTTAAAGAAGAACATAAGTTTTATTTTAAGGAAAAATCTGCATATCAATAGGTCAATAATTCTTAGCAAAATCATGTCATGCAAAATTCTACAGAAATTAAAAAGTTGACAAGATAATGACCAATGATCAATCATATATCGAATACAGAACATGAATTGTGTATAGGTTAAAAACACGTGCCTCTGGAAACATGAGAGGAAAGATCAAGTGCCTTGAAGGAGTAAGCATCCCCTGTAGACATAAGACAGGTAATCCGATTACCTCTGTAATAATCAGAAAAATGGAGTTTTCCATACTCGAAATAATTTTAAAATAAATTGCCTAACAAAATACGATACAACGCTAAGTGTATTTGCAAACAAAGTCAGCATATAGACAATAGATTTTTTAAAATGCTGAATATAAATAAGATAGTAAAACTCCCTGTTACATCAGCTTATTTGTCTTACTCTGTTCCCTTTCTCATTTTTGTCTATTACTGTATTTAAATGGAAAGAACTTATAACTAGAAATAGATTTTTAGATTCGATATATGTATTGAATTTAGGAAAACAACTATATGAAATACATGTAAGTATGCCGGACTGCTTCTATATATATGTTTTTCCCATCTTTAGCTTTAGCACTTTCATTTAAAATCTTCAAAAGCATGTAAAGCTAAAGCTTTACTGAAGATTTTTGTGTTTTTTAAAAATATTTTTTAATATTGTAATCCGATTTTTTTCAGGTTTGGAGATATATATATATATATATATATATATATATATATATATATATATATATATATATATATATATATATATATATATATCTCTTAATGTAAACTATGCAAAAAGCTTCAGGTGAACCACAGTATCCATTTACTTTGAGGAAAAGACAATTTCTCTTATTTTTCAATCGAAGCAATTCATAAAAAATATGAGCACGTGTTCAAACGGAAAATTTCATGTGAATTAGTTTATTCGAATTAATTAAAAGCGCATCAAATTACTTAGCATTATCTCCACCATTCACAATAATTTAATTCGCATTATTTTTCTTCAAATGAATTTACTGTGAAATTCGTGTGAACAGGGCATTACTGCGCATCAAATTGCTCTGCATTAACTCCGTGTGAATAAATTCTCCGTATAAACGCGGTAACCCAAAGTTTTACAAAACACATAAAGGCGAGAAGAAATCAATCTAACTAATGTAGGTAACCTATTTAATGTAGGGTAGATTGCAAATGCGTTATCTACTTGGAATCTATGCAAAACGTCTCAGGTGAGCATCTGACGTCTTTATTTTTAGAGGTCACCTTAGATATTATTGAAAATGCTACAAACAGGTATAACGAGAATAATCTAATGGTTGGTTTGAAAGTATTTCCGCACTAGAAGACCCAAGAAACACATAAATGGTTTTAGAAAATATAGATACTTCCATGTGCCTGTTCTCTTTTTTTTTTTTTAATTTCAGTTCTTTATTAGGGAGAAGTGACATTTTGAGAAAAAGCTAATAGAATGATAATCAGTCAAGTATACTTTATCAAAACTTTATAAGCTGAAAGAAATATGTAATCATAATTAAGCCATGTAGCATGCATACATTGTAGATACTGTAGCACAAACTGTTATAAGTTTTGAGAAGCCTGTAAGTTCTCCCAGAGTATAACAAATTTGTGTAAGCTTCGAAGATAAAGGACACGTCTCTCTACTTATCTCTCTACTGATATTATCAGTGTCTTCTTCATTAAAATAAATCATGCTAATTAAACTTGTCATTTCACTTGCATTAAAATAGAAATTCATTAAACAAAAAACCCAGTTGCTATGACAACCATACTATCGTAGTTCAGGAACAGCCCCTATTTTATTGATATTATCAATATACAAAACTAGAGATTCAGTGCTTGAACAACTTCTAATAATGCACTTACCCTCACATACACAGACGAACACTGATAAAATACAAAAAAATTACTGCGGTAACAGAAGTTGTTTTGTACTATGTTGTTTCCATGGACACAAACAATAAATGGATGTATAAGCAATAACTGCCCATATAAAATTCAATGGAAATTCCCTTTCCCTTTCTTTTTTTGCAGTTATATATATATATATATATAGTGTGTGACCCACCCCCACCCCCACCCACCCAAAAGCTGTTTGCCTCACATTTTGCCATAAAAATATGATTAGGGAATCTTAGGGATGGAGGACAGAAAGGAGAATAGAACAACCAAAGATGCACATGACATATAATTTGTCATGTGTATCTTTCGTTGTTCCATTCTCCTTTCTGCCCTCCATCAGTTTACATTTTTGCTCATGTAAAAAGAAACTGTTGAAGATCTAATTATCTATCATCATACACTGATTAAATTAATTTTGATAATTAATCACAGTACAAACATTTCAATATTTTGTGATGTTGACCCTCCCTTTTCATTGCATTGCTATAACATTTCCTAATGTTGATTATACGCATTTACACTGATATTGACCTTGACCTGATTTTGCATTGACCTTGATAACTTGAATTTCATACAGAGCTTCAACCATGCTAATGTTCAATTCTGAAATCATTACTCATGACTTTGACCTGACCTGATCTATTTTTCTACTGGCCAGAGACTACTCTCCCTGCAGCAGGTTTAGTTAGACTTCAATAAAACGAAGTATACAAGTAAACTAAATCAAGAATCATTTTATTTATAAGAAGCCAAATTTTGAGTCAAGGAGCTACATTGTAATTTTCTCCTTTTTTTATTATAATAACAAACAAGTAGTCCTGATAGAGATATATTGTACATGTAATTTGATTTCAGTTAAAATTATTACAGTTATGTTAAAAAAAAACTACATATTCTTGTTGACATGCCAAGAAACAAGAAACAGAAAAATATGAAACTCTGACTTTAATGAAAAATTAATCTCATGAACTAGAAGGTACTCTGCCTACCCAAACTTTCTGATTATGTCTTTTTTAAAACTGTCATACTAAAAAAGATTAACAACAACAAAAACCTGTATTAATATACTTGTACTTGATAAATCTGACAAACTTATAAGTTCATATTTTGATCTAATTGACAAATTATGAAATTTCACTGAGTAAAGATTTTGTTTAGTTGACCACTTGAAATACATGTACCGACATGTATTTACTAAATAATAAAGAATTTTATTAACTTAAGTGTGATGGAGTTATTGGAGTACTGTTTTAATAATGAAAATTTTTTAATATATAGATCTATAGTTACTTTCTTACTTTATTGCAATTATATAATGTATTCAGAGATTATAAAACAAATTTCTAAGTTTTTCCAGTTTTATATAATTAGTTCTTAAATGAGAGAGCACATGTCACTACCCTCTCCCCCAAAAAAATATCCAGACAAACAAACAAAATTAAGCCCTGAACATACTGAAACCTACAAAACTTGAAATGATGTGTTTTGTTTTACATGTGTATACAGTCCACTTGGATCAACATGTAAAAACAGTCAATGATTGAATGAATGCAAGACAGTAACTTGTTAACCCCCTCCCTCCCCCTCCCTTATGCAAACAGTAACACACACTGAAATTTAATGTAACTTTAAAAACCAATGTCATATTTTATCATATATGATGTATGGTTGACATAAATTTTATCAACAGATATAATTTATTATATGCAGTTTGAAAATTTGACGATTTGACGAATATTAATTAATTTTTTTTAATAATTGAATTCAAATATCAATGATGTTTTCTTGATATTATGGTGTTTCTCTCTCTTATAGATATTCAAACACTGTTATTAATTAATTTACTTATAATTATGAAACATGCATGAGTTACAGTGCTTAAATATTGACAAAGGTAAATAATATAATTTTACAGGTTTTTGTACATTTGAAACAATCCGGGAAAAGTTATTCCGGTACAAGCGGTATTTTAGTCATGTTTCCGCTAGATGGCGTTGTTGGCCACATAGGGTATAAATACAAGTGAAGCGGCAGAGCTGTATTAATTGCGAAGTTGATGCTGAAGTGGCAACACAAGCGGCGGACCATTAATGATCAGAGGTAACTTTTAGTTAATGATAATAAATAAATATTTAAAGCGTTAGACGTGACTGAACAAGTCTTTCCTGGCTTTAAATATTATTTATTACCAAGAAAGCTACCGAGGGAGCCAGTAAGAGCCGAGCTGTAAGAGCCGGTTATCATAAGAGCTGAGCTGTAAGAGCCAGTAACCATAAGAGCTGAGCTGTAAGAGCCAGTAACCATAAGAGCCGTGCTGTAAGAGCTAGTAACCAGAAGAGCCGAGCTGTAAGAGCCGATCGCTTAGGAGTCAGCGTCACTTTGATTTATTGTACCTAATTGATTAAAGACAAGTAGTCTAAACATTTATCTGTATATATTGCTTAATCACATATTTGTATATTTTGATCCTGCCAGGTCCTCAGAAAGTTAACTGGGGGAATTCAGCCGCCTCTGCTATTTGTTATTATATTATTAGATTTCACGCTACACATTGATACTGTACTTGCCTAGTGATCTTATTACTGCTAGGTACATGTATCTTTCAACATCACGGCCTTATCACCGAAAGCAACTTGATTGTAGCTCTGAAATCCATGTATAACTGATTCTGCTTTCTTATAAACATTTTGTTTGCAATGTTCATGCAGTACATCGGTACGTGTCACACTTGGAA